GGATCTTAGACTTTGAAGAATGTTTATCAGGAGTGAATACAGCTTTTTCAATAAATGTTGTCGGTGAGACTTGTAGATGCACTACCGAAATTCACTCTGGGAGTCCAAGGTGTTCAATAATGATAAATCATATTGCATGCCAGAATTCAGTTTTTTAATAATTGGCTGTAGTTAGACGCATTTGTACACGTTTTTGCTTTATTCGCTTGGATGAACACGGAACAATGGCTTTATTTCGAGGCTGAAGTTTTCGACAAAAGATAAAACTCCAGCATCGGAATGAAGCCGTTGTTTCGTGTTTATCCAAGCGAATGCGGGATTGCTCTATTTACTGCTCATTTAAAAGAATTTGTCAAGCAGATTGGAAAGAATGCGACCGAGGTATTGTGGGCATTGATTGTTGATGGCAAYGTTCAGCTACCTATTGCAGTCAGTAATCTCCATCTCATTAAAGAGATCTTCGGTAGAGGCTTGCTTGGCTTGTCCGTGCTTTGGAGGATTTGTGACTGAATACGATCCATCGAAAATTGAATATCCTAGTAATATGGGTCGTACATTTGGTTATACGCCCCTTCCTTATTCAGTGCAGAATCACTTAAAGAAGTCCTCATATTTCAATTGGTAATAATGTATTACGTTTTACGAAAGAAAATTTATAAAAAAAAACATTTTTTGTAGCTTATAGGAACTTGTAGATATGTTGAAAATGTTAAATACATATAATATATAGTWTTTGTCAACTTAAGATAAAAAGGAACCCAAAATTGAAACAGAAATTCAAAATCTTAATTGATATAATGATTTTTTTCAGGAAAGGTATTATATATCGTWATGAAACAAAAAATAAAAATAGATTTTAAAACAATGAGTATAAAAAAGTAATCACGAGAAAAACTGCAATGAAAAATCGTAAATAATGGCAATTTGCTATTGACAATATCCGTTGCTGTTAAAAGCTTGTCAACAAAAACATATCCCAATGACGTTGATAAACGTATCAAAAGCATTTAGGGAAGCCATTTTAGCGCTACAGCAGAATGGAATWCAATTTGCAAATGAATCTGTAAGTTTCAACTGACATTGAAATGGTTTACCGTTGGATAAGAACAGGAAAAAAAATTATGAAATGATAATAAAAATAAGGATTATTGAATGAAAGAAAATAGAATGGGAATGCTATCCCTGTGTCATCGATAAATCTATTGGCAATAGTAAAAAAAAGCATTTGAATGTTGGGATGTAACATAGGCTTGGAAATATTACCAGGTAAATTTCAGTTGACATTAGAATTGTTTTCTCAATTAAAAGGTAACAGAAGAACAGACTGAGMAACCAACAAAAATGCAAAGATGAACACAMTAGAACAGTGAGCATTGTAATTTGGCTTTTAAATGAAACGCTAATATTTATATATTAGGCTATTAATAATTAATAAAAGCTTAAATCATTTTGATAGATACCTTTGAACAGGTCTTTGAACTGTGGCTCAAAACATGCAGAAATACGAAGCATTTATCTGATCTTATGGATCAGTTTGTGACAAATCATCAATTATGAAGCTTGACAAGTTGAGAAATAGTAAATGAGGCAATGATAAATCTATTGAATGACATTAAGGAAGTGCTAAAACCTTAGAGAATGGGAAAATGTAAAACATGATATCATTTAGCAAACTGACAAATAAAATTGATATGGATTAAGAATCTGATTTTCATTCAAATTGTTAATCACAATTCAAATTTCCCATTTGATTATCAATCAAATTCTAGATATTATCATCTAGGACATCTAGCAGTCACAAAGCAATTAATTCCAGAGTTAATTCCAAGTTCAGCTCATAGATTTATTTGCAGAAAACAGTTGTAAATCCTAAAAATTGCCAAATAGTTGATTATACTTACCAAAAGTCTGCAGACGACTGTGGTGTTCCCTTGTCCAGTATCTCTTTGTTTTATCATTCAGCATTATGTAGTGTCGAATTCCATGCCAATGTCTGGTCAGGCGTGAGGGCGGCTTTGGTGATGCAACATCATTCAAGGTATTTGTAAATCTTGAATAAGATCTAAGAGGAAGAAAGGCAAATAAAACAACAAAAAAGTCATTAGTATTGCAGAAAACTTTTTATAAATTAATCCCAGGAAAGTAGTTCAACTAAATGACAATTTGCAAGTAACTTAACATTGAATATTCTTTAATTATTCTTGCAAAACAATTCAAGCATTGTGTTTCTTTCTTTTCATCAATGTTTGACTTTATTGAGATACCGTAAGTTCATGAATTATGCATATTTCGTTCWACTCCCTGAACAATGGACAACAATTGTCGAGTGTCGAGTGTCTAGCTTATTGCTGACTTAAGTTAACTTTTAAGCTGAAATATTAGTTTTAAGCTTAATATGACTGCAAAACGTTTGGCCAAATCCACTGCTCGATATTTCGAGAGTTTTATTTGAACTGGTTTCCTAAATACTTTCTTCGACTTTCTCTGTGCATAACTTCAAATATGCATAGAATAAACTACTTYACTTACTTTGTATTACGAATTCTCCCTCTGTGGTTTGTTTCGAAGTGAAATTTACATTCAAAAGTCGCGCTTCTCTACCATCCGCCATCTTGAATGGTCATCCTGTGACCGAGTGAGACTAGAATCAAACATCCATATATGGTTGTTTTGGAATTAATTCAAACGGCACAGGTAGTCCACACAAAAAAAAAAGAATTTATAAGAAAATAAGCTTCTCTACTTTGGTATTTGTTTTCTATTTTGTGTGTTGTATTTTATGTTGTAGCTCCTTGGAAGTTCTGGTGATTTTAGCCCGGGATCATTTAGCTTGATTTATTGAGGTGAATATGGTTTTTCAGATGGTGATGGGTGGCTATTTTTCTCATTTTCATGAGCTGATAAAAAAGAATAACTAAATATATTAGGCATCCGATAAAAAATAAAAATTTTGATACTCGCAATCTTGGGGTAGCATATTTAAACTTCATWCTCGCTGCCGTTTTGGTTGAAAATATCAAAAAAGCTTGTTTTTTGCGTATTACTGGTTGTTCCAACTGACATGGCGGTCGATAGTTTTGTTCTTTTTCTCTTGAATACATATAAGCTAACTTTAATACATGAATTAATAAATAGATAAACACGATGATGTCAGTATATTTTATTGACCTTTTGATGACTGGAATGATAACGAATAACTTTGAAGGATGAGTTTAACGCATTAGTTGAAGTTTAAGATCATGAAATGCAAATAATTCTGCTTTCAATAATCTGAGCGATATTCAGAGGGTTTAAGGGTTAGACATTCACTGTTATSTTTGGCTTWAGGAAATCCCTAAAGTTTGTCTGGGCTCTTTTACTTCCTTGGGTCCTGCATCTTGGATCATTTGGTCCGGTTGGGTAGTTRTCGCTCCAGTACAGATAATAAAACCAGACATTCATGTGAGTGTAGATGGATCGCTGTAGAAACGATAAAAAACAACAATATAAATCATAATTTTCCAGTAGTGAGATAAGCATACAATAAAGAGTAAGTAAAAAAAAGAGTAATATCGATTTATAGCTTAAACTATTCTCCCTTACAAATAATGGACACGTTTCATTCCTACCCCCTAACAGCCCGTCCCCCCATGTTTTATCAAACCCTGGTGACTACTTCCCCCTTCTTTCTACGAAAAGAAAGAGCATTTTCATGCTTTACAACTTCCCTACCCTCCTCAACCTAAAGATTCAGTTGCAGCGTCTATCCTAAAGGTTAAATATGATGTGTCCTGAAAACATCTTTGAAGTTTTACTCACATCAAAAGTACTACAGTTTTCGTCCGGTATCTGTGATCCACCACATTCAGCATTCTCATCAATGGGCATGTCAATTGTATATGTTCCAAACGGGCTCTGACATTCCTTGGCTCCTAAAAGGGCATCATCGCAAGGCGTGTCGCTTAGGAAATGACAACACATGGGTTGAAAGCGTTCGTCATTTTTCCCCATGCAGAAAAGCGAACCACCTGAAACAAGAACATAAAGTGTGACACTGAAAATCACTAACTATCAAGACTCTTAAAGAGGATTGGGAGAAGGTTAAGGAGCGAGGTAGGGAGAGAAGAGAAGAGGAGAGAAGAGGAGAGAAGAGAAGAGGAGGAACAATATCGATCCAAGCTTTTGCACTGCAAAAACGAAGGCAAGATTTCATCACTACTATGAAAAGATTCACCAGGAATATTTACTAGCTGCACTTAATTTGCAAGTGCGCAAACAAAAGCATTGTTTGGAGAAGTCATGTGCTTGGTCGAGCAATTTTAAAAGTGCTCTCACTACAGACAGACGCCATTAAGAATGATTATCTTACTGTTTCCTTTTTGCTTTTCTGCATTGCATYTGGCTGTGTCTGTGATCGTAAAGCGGTCGAATTCAAACTTTCGCCACGAAGTAGTTCCCAACTTCTGACGGAACTCTTTAATGTTGCCYTGACCATCTTTGAARTATGARGCGCTCTCATGCCGWACTTTCAAATGTACCCTTACCGGCATGTTRTCATCGTTCTSCTGAGAATTAGGACCGTAGAGCTCGACATACATCTGAAATACAAAGGTCGTTTAGTCTTCGATGAGATAATGAAGTATCAAATGGGATAAGKCACCAGGGATCAAGGATCATAATTATGCGTAGAAACCTTACCTTTAGCAAACGGACGTTGAAACACGTTCTACAGCTTTCACCGATACCAATGTTTAACCTCGCTTTACCCTTATGGAGGTCTCCAAAAAACTARCATTGA